ATCATTCTAGACAAGAAGGGAGTGCTCTCAGTGTGCAGAAATCTCAAGTTTTATTTTGAAATAATGTTGTGATAATCCAGACTCTACTCAGAACTTATCAGTAATTTTTTTTTTTCCTTCTGGAGCTATTAGTCACTAGGGTTGGCCTACAAAAATGGTACCCTTTGTTGAGGAAGGGTATGTGGTTGCTTCTTTCCCCATTTCTTCCTCGCTTCCTAGAGAGGTTTCTCCTGGGTCAAGTCCAGGAGCAGAGGAAATAGAAAGACAAGAGCATGTGGTAGGTGTTATTGTTGTCTGATATTAGGGCCCTCCAAATGGCAGTGTTGAAAGCTGATTCTTTCTTTAGGTGTTGGTGTTGGTGGTATGTGCCGTGAAGTCGGTTCCGGCCCATAGAGACCCTGTACAGGGTTTCTGAGGCTGTAAATCTTTACAGGAGCAAAGAGCCTCATCTTTCTCCCACGGAACACCTGGTAGTTTTGAACTGCTGACCTTATGATTCGCAGCCCAATTTGTAACCACTTTTTCTTGAGTTTACTATTCTTGAGTGACTTCTGAGAAAACATGTACTCTATTCTGGCAGTTGCTTTATCCATTTGTAGCTCATAGGAATTAAGCATTCCACCTCACCTTCCTTTATTCTAGGCTCCCATCACCCCTTAAGTGGACCCATTGGACATGATCTAAAATCACCCATGCTGTCAGTTTCTTAAACACAGTTCACCTCTAGCCATACAAAATGCATGTGCAATTGTTGGGAGTACAGTTACTACCTCCTAAAATCTGCTCTCTTTCTGTCTTGCTTTTTCACTCGTCCTCAGCTGCTGCATCTCTCTCATCTTTGCACTAAGATACCTTCAGTCCACGGTATTCTCTGATTCAGCTTCTTAAGTGGTCTTGCTGAAGCCTAGTCTTTCTGGTTTTGAGTTGAAGGAGTTAGTACCCTCCCTTAGCTCACCCCACCTTCTTGGAGGAAAGAGAAAGGTTGAAGGAGATTTTCCACCTTTCCCCTCTTATTTTTTATTTATTTTTTTATTAAAAAGTTCTTGAGGAAGATGCAGAGTTGTACAATGGGTTTATAACCATTTTCTTTGTAAATTCTGTAAATAATGATTTACCTTACATACACTTTGGAATCAGGTATTTGTATCTGTTTCATGGGTACCTCAAAGTGTTGTAGAAAGGGATCTCTTAATGTTTTTAAAGTATGTGCTACAAAGAACTTTGTGGTCACTATGGTTTTCCTAAGCATAAGAAACATGGATCACAATTTGATCGTGTGTCTTATCTCATGGCTGGATGATACGTTCATTTAGTGGAAATTGAAACTAGTAGCTGTACCTCATTTGTCATAATTATTATAGTCATAGAAGTAATTCAGGTTTGTTTTTGTTTTTTTTTCCCATTGTAGTAATTTATTTAGGTTTAATTATGCAAGGTAGGTGTAGCACATAATCTGAGGACTTTGTTGTTGTTGTGAAGTGCTGTCGAGTCAGTTCTGACTCATAGTGACCCTGTTTAGGGTATCCAAGGAGAAGTTGGTGGGTTTGAACTGCTGACCTTGTGGTTTGCAGTCCAGTGCTGATCCTACAGTGCCACACCACGAGTCTACCTAATTCAGAGATTTGTAGACCTTTCTTTCTGCAGATTAGAATTATTCTATTTAGAACTGCCATTTTTTCTCCTGCTTTATGTTTTTTGTAGTTATTGTGTGTGTGTGTTGTTATCTCCTTTCTGCTGGCTAAATTTAGCTTTCTCCTGTGATTTTAGTTATACAGGAGAAATTTATTTATTCTTATGGTGATTGATTACCTTTAATTCAAGGCACATTCTATCTTAGCTTGAGTGTCCCGCTACTGCCCTAAAGCACTGCTTGGCACAATTGAGTGGGGATACTTTCTTTGGAAGGTGATCCCAAGATGAAGTAAAAGTGAGAGAATAGGGAGAGTTAGGGATAAAAGGCAACAAAGGGTTCATTAATGAGCTAATTACCATTGTAGACACCTGGAGACCAATTCCTCTGAGGAACTATGTAGAAACGTCTCAAGATTGTCCCATCGAAGGGAGGCTGGGACATTTATTCCATCCCCCACCATTTGAAACTCACCCACATGGCAGTTCCCCTGGACATCAGACGTGCATTTCATCTAGGTGCCTTCTGAAGCATCAGTATAAGCCCTGGGATAGAAAAACAGAGACACCTGCAGCACATGCTTTGGAGAAGGGACGTGAGCAACAGGCTAATAATGGTCCTCCACAGCTGCTCTTTCCCCAAGGAGCTGAGGGATGTGGCCAGAGCCGCAGGTGTCTGCTACTCCTGTTTGTGTTTACTTACCTTGATTACTTGGTGTCCTCAGTGTAGTGCTGTAGAATAAGCACTGAACTGCTAACCACAAGGTCAGTCAGTGGTTCAAACATACCAGCTGCTCCTTGGAAACCCTGTACCACAGAGGTGGGGAATCCTTATTCTGCAAAATTTATAGGCCATACAAAATTATCAACTTAAAACAAACACTTAATTCATCCCTAATACAACAGCAATACAAGGTCAGTGGTTCAAGCTCACCAGCCACTTCTTGGAAACCTGATACAGGGTCACTGGGTTAGAACTGACTTGATGACACTTAACAATAAAAATGTGATGGCTAGAGTCCTAGTATAGCACTGTGAGTTAATACGCTGGACTGCAAAGTTGGTTTGAACTGCAAGGTCGGTGGTTCAAACTTCTCAGTGCTTCTCATGGGTCGGAACCAACTCGATAACATTTGACAACAACAACAACAACGTGATGGCCAGAATTGCAGTTGCCTTGGCAGGGCCAGACCAAAGGATTTCACAAAAGGAGCTCTGGTATTGTACTAGTTACGAATCCGGCTGCTAATCTCATAGCAGTTCGAAACTTCCAGCGGTTCCACCAGAGAAAGGTGAGGCTTTCTACTCCCATAAAGATTTACAGCCTCGGAAACCCTGTGCAGTGTCGCTATGAGTTGGAACTGACTCCACAGCACATAACAACAACACCTCCCACAGGACAGATACTCCCCACCCTTACTATTTACTCTCTCCCTACCCTATTAATTTTGGGGGGATGTTTTGAACATTTTTCTTTATCCTTTGGTCCTTGGTTTTTTTAAACAACCTTGAGCTTTTCTAAGTTAATCATCCTTATTGCCCATATTGATGCTTGAATTTTTTTTTCATTATATGTTTTCTCTAAGAGGGTTTTTGTTTTTCTGAAATATCTGAGATCTTGCATACCTGAAAGTATACTATTTACACATTCAAATTTAAATGAAAATTGCATAGAAAGATTCTAGGTTCAAAGCAACAATAGGATTTTATAAAGAAGAAACAATTTCTTAGTTAAATAATTTTAAATGTTGAATAATAATTTAATGGATTAAATAATACTTTATTTGTAATGTGTATGGAGTAAATATTATCACTCAAGTAAATATAAATTTATTTATCAATAAATAGTATCTACTCACTTTTCTGTCTCCTTAAATTCTGAGATAATCTCAGGGTCTATCTGTCATGTCTGTCTCTGGACTTTGTATAATTATTTCTTTTAGAATTTGTTACAGTATAGGGTTGTTGTTGTTAAGTACCATGGAGTCGGTTCCGACTCATAGCGACCCTGCACAGGGTTTCTGAGGCTGCAAATCTCTATGGGAGCAGAACGCCTCATTTTTTTCCCGTGGAATGGCTGGTAGTTTCCAACTGCCGACCCTGAGGTTAGCAGCCTGATTGGCAACCACTATGTAGGGTAGACTTCCCCATATGAAGCTTCTGCTTTCACAGAAATAGCAAACTGCTGGGTTTTACTTTCTACAGTTTTCCCTCTTTTGGCTTTAGAGTATCTTAGGTAGCCTAGATGTGTCTTAAGTCTTAGTTGTTGATAAGTGACATCAAGTTGGTTCCAACCCATAGCGACCCCGTATAGGGTTTCCAAGGAGCAACTGGTGAGCTTGAACCACCAACTGTGCAGCTCAAATGACTTTGTGGTCCAGCACATTAGCACACAGCGCCACACCAGGACTCTTGAGTCTTAGTAGGAAGTTCTTATACCAGAGGGATATGGAAGGAAGAGTAACTGTAAGAAAACATGCTTGTTCCAGGAAATCCTCCTGACCCCTGGGATGCTTTACTCTTGTTGCATAAACACCTGCTTTTGTCACTGTGCTGCCTGATCCAACAGCTTCATTTATAAAACAACTTCTTCCAGATGTTGCTGCTTATTTTTAATCTTTTAATTCAATAGTTAAAGTTTTGTCAATGGATGTGGTATGGGAATTATATGGCTAGATAGTAAAAATTAAGATTTTTTTTTTTTCTATTTTAAGGCACAGTAAGTTAAGTGCTGGGCTGCTAACTGCAAGATCAGTGGTTCAGATCCACCAACTGCTCTGAGGGAAACGATGAGGTTGTCTCCTCCTTTAAAGATTTACTCTCTCGAAACCTCTGGAGCAGTTTTACTCTGCCTCGGTGGCAGTGGGTTTTGGAGATAGGTATTTGTTATTCTTGGCACTGGTTCTCTTAGCATCTGTGTCTATATTTTTATATGTTACTGGTAATAAGTTTAAAACATACACAGAATGAGAATATTATTTCTTCATTTTTTTAAAATCTGTGTTGAAAGAAATTGAGATACACATAGCAAATATTAACAGGAAGAGCTAGACAATAGCCTGTCATTCATACTTACTTCACCATTCTTTCTAGCTTTTATTATGCAGTTAAACAGATTGGTATTTTGTGGTCTTCTAAAAGAATGTGTTTTTATTTTGACATAAATATAAGTTTAAGAACCACTGTTATAAATAAAATTTGGTTCTTTGAATTAGAAGATTGAGTGTTTGAAAAATAAGCAGAGTATTGCAAAGATCAGTTCAACTTTATTTACTCCATATCTTATCTCTTTTAACTAGATAAAGTTATATATACTTCCCATGGGATTGTTTCAAGATTGTAAATAACCATTTCATTTTGTGATCTTTCAGGAGCCCAGGCTTGTGTGCTTGTATTTTCTACTACAGACAGGGAATCTTTTGAAGCAATTCCCAGTTGGAGAGAGAAAGTAGTAGCTGAAGTAGGAGATTTACCAACTGTACTTGTACAAAACAAGATTGATCTCTTGGATGATTCTTGTATAAAGAAGTAAGATGACTATGTTTTTAGAGGGGACAGTAATTCTACAAAAGTTAAAACAATTAAAAATTGTTGCATAGATGTAAAATTTAGCAAAAGTTTTTATAACAACTGCCTATACTTATATAACTTATACAGCCTATTCTCTGTGATTGGGAATTTAAAAAATTATACTGACTTGTAAATACAGAAAATTTAAAGAATAAAGTTTGAAGATCCTTTTAGGATTCCAGTCTGAAATCCTTTTCACCATAAATCCAATTCATGTTAATTTAAACCTAGCTCCATATAATAAGCACTGAACAGTGAACCTCATAGTCTGTGGTTTGAACCCAACAGCTGCTCTGTGGGAGAAAGGTGAGGTTTTCTGCTCCTGTGAAGATTTAATGCCTCAGAAACCTTACACAGGGTGGTTAACAGTCAGAATTGACTCGACGGCACTTAACATAAAAACATAGTAAGAATATTAAAAATATCCCTAGGTGTTTTCACATTTAGAATAAGTAGCTATCATACATCAGTGACTTTCAATACATAAAAGGTACATGTTAATATTATTTTATGTATTCAGAATTCTTACATTTGTGAATAGGGTTTAACCAAGTTGTCAGTGGGTCGAGTCTGACTCCTGGCGACCCTATATGTATCGGTAGAATTGCTCTCCATACACCAGGCTTTTAGGTACCAATGGGTAGACGTAAACCTCCACCCTCTCTGTTAGTAGCGAAGCATGCTAGCCATGTGTACCTTACAGTGACTTCAAACAGAGTTTAACATCCATATAATTTCTGTCTATAAGTATTTATTCATTGCATCACTAATGTTTCTGGAAATCTGTGATTGATTTTTACCTTATTATTACTATGTTACATGTCCTTTTATGGTATTTGTTGCTGTGTAACTACCCAAAATCTAGTGACTTAAACGTCAAACATTTATTACTTTACAGTTTTTGTTGGTCAGGAATTTGGAAGGTTGGCTTAGCTGGGTGGTTTTGGCTCCGTATTTTTCATGAACTTATGGCTGGGGCTGTAGTTATGTAAAGGTTTGACTGCATCTGGAGGATCTACTTCCAAGATGGCTGACTCACTGGCTGTTAGCAGGAGACCTTAGTTCCTTTCCACATGGGCCTCTCTTTAGGACTGCTGAAGTGTTCTCACAGTATTGCAGCTGACATTTCCCAGAGCAGCCTGTCCAAAAAGAGAACAAGGTGAAAGCCACCACATCTTTTTTGACCTAGCCTAGAAGTCCCATACTGTCATTTCTGCTGTGTGTTATTGGTTACAAAGGCCAACCGTGATACATATGGGAGGGGATTCTACAAGGTCATGAAGACCAGGAGGTGGGGGATCATTGGGAACCATTTTGGACCATGGCTACTAAATCTTAATAAAACTAAAATTAGGAGTCTACTTTTATAGCAGATAACAGTAAATTCAGCATTTCAGTATAAGACTTTTAGAATGTAATTAAATCCAGATAATATTAATAACAGAAGAGAGAACTGATTCAGGTATTTAAATAAAGAAAAGTGGTATTTAACCATGGAGACGAATGATTTTATGGAAAAGTGTTCTATGTACAGATACAGTGTAATGGCTGGTGTTTATCCTCCAAGAGCAGTGATGACTAAATCTTACTGAAGCACTGAGATACAGTTTTCTATTGGTTTTAATTAACTGAGTATCAATATTAAGCTTCTTTACAAAGAAATAAATTTTTCTGGAAGGTCTGATTCTTACTCCCCATCCCATCCATATTCACAAAATGTAATTAAAAGTAATTATTTAAGACAAGCAGTGAGAGTCACCGCTGTAAGCATATTCTCTTCTGATTTGATGTGCAGTGAGGAAGCTGAGGCATTGGCAAAAAGGTTAAAGTTACGATTCTACAGAACATCAGTGAAAGAAGATCTAAATGTAAATGAAGGTAAATTTTTTTTTATATAAATTATTGCAATAGGATGTGTTTTTGACCTAATTTTTTTTCTATTGTGTTGCTTAGAAATTTTACTTACATGAGAACAAAATTAGCTCTTAGTCACTAATCATTAAGTATGATTTATAGACATGAATGTTTGTTATTGTCTATAACAAAACTTTTTATCTGGTAGGTTTTTCTCTTGGTTTTTAAAAAAATATCTTTAAAAACCTAAGCTATGTATATGTGAACATATAAGTAGTATGTGTTTTTAATGTATACCTTTTGAAAATTTTTGACATTTCGAATTAGTAAATTGTTTTAGAACACCAGGGGAGTAGGTATTCCTTTGGGAAGTGATGACCTTTGTTTAATATTGTCTAGTTTTAAAAGAGAAAGATTAGAGAAAGATAATATATATTTCTCATTTAAGGTTTGCCACTGTTTTATTAGAGTGAAACTCATTAGTTGTTCAGGTCTTTATGCTAGTTAATTTTTTTGAACCTAAAAAAATGTTGACATCATTTCAAGACATCACTGCATAGTAATCACTATTCAAGAACTTAAAGAGCCTGTGGTGAGTGTTGGTTTAATTTTGTACGAATAACAGACCACTCTGGTTATGCTGTGGGTTAGGCATTGCACTGTTGTCCACAAGGTCAGCAGTTCAAATCCACCAGCCATTCCTCAGTAAAAAGATGAGGCTATCTGTTCCCATAAAGATTTACAGTCTCAGAAACCCTATGTAGGGCCCCTTTGAGTCAAAATCAGCTCAGTGGCGGTGGGCTTGTTTTGATTTTTGGTTTATACATTTACTAATATTACCACTCACTCACCAGCTGCTCCTCGGAAACCCTATACAGGGTCGCTATGGATCGGAATCGACTCGATGGCACATAACAACAACAAAAATTCTTCTTAGGTATTGATCAAATAATTTTCTAGAGTTGATTTGCTTACTAGATTATATGCTTCTAACTGATTTCAATTTGCCTATTAAGTATACATATGATAATGTTGTTAGATACCTTTGAGTCAATTTTCGTCTCATAGAGACGTTGTGTGACAGCAGGAATGCCTCATACTGTTTTCTTAGATGTAATCTTTTTGAGAGAAGTTGCAGGGTTTTGATTTTCTCCCATGGAGCTGCTGTGTGAGTTAAACTTTTTGCTTAGCAGCCGAGCACTTAGCCTTTCACACCAGTAGCATTTCTTGAAATATTATAATAAAATGTTCAAACCCACTGCCCTTGAGTTGATTCTGATAAGTAATATGAAATAACAGAATTTACATGAATAAATTATGTTGACCTGAGAAGCTTGTTGTCTTATTCTAGTTTTTAAATATTTGGCTGAAAAATATCTTCAAAAACTCAAGCAACAAATAGCTGCAGATCCAGAGCTAAGACATTCAAGTAGTAACAAAATTGGTAAGTACCCAGGAAACGACAGCCATGCTTACCTGTTCAATTTCAGTTTCATTCATTATTATAATACTTACTAGTTTTTAGAATATGCTCATTTCTTTAAGAAATGTGCCAATTACAGTAAATCCGTGATTGTTAACTTTAAATAGTATCACATTTATTTTTTAGAAATATTGATTTTAAAGGACTTTTACTATTGAATGTTCTAAATCCATTCAGTAGGGTAAAGATACCAGAGATGTTATAGCTCTTGTTATAAAACTCTATCCCTTACACATAAAAGGGCTTTCTAACACTTGTTTTCTGATTTTATACTGTACTATCTCTTACCTTTTTCCATTCCTACTACTTTTTTCTTTACTACTTTTGAATTTTAAAAATGCTAAATGCTAGCAAAAGTATAGCATTCCTGCAAAAGGGCAAATATAGTATGATCTCACTAATATAAAATAAGCAAGTATAGACATCAAAAATACTAGTTGTTACCAGGGGTAGAAGGGACGAGGGGAAACTTTTGTTAGTGGGCAGTTGAGTTTATGGTAATGGTGGTAGATTATTTTGGATAAGGATAGTGATATGGTAATGGTATAACATAAAAATTACAATCAGTGTCATGGAAGTTGTTGTGTTGGTGGATGTTTTGGTGTGTATATTTTTACTACAATAAAAAAGAGAAAAGTTTAACATCCTCTTGAGGAACAGCTTTGTTATCTACTTTTGAACAATGAGAACTTACTGGGCATGTCTCCCATGTTGTTTTGGCTTCCAGGAAGATGAAGAGCTGCATTTTCTGGTTCTAAAGGAGTTCTATTGTTTATGGAGTTGTCAGTCAGAACCAACATGATGGCACTAACAGCAGCAGCAATAAAACCAGTTGTATAGTGTCATGGAAGGAGCTCTGGTAGCGTAGTGGTTATGAATCGGGCTGCGAACCTTAAGGTCAGCAGTTCGAAACTACCAGCTGTTCTGCGAGAGAAAGATGAGGCTTTCTGCTCCCGTAAAATATACAGCCTCGGAAACCCTGTTCAGGGTCACTGTGGGTCGGAATCGACTCGACAGCACTTAACATCAACAATATCATAGTCTCACGGACTTCATATCTGCACCATATTCATCCTCTTACTACAGATACACAAACACACACATCATTTTCATGACTTGTGTTTTATTTACATTTTCCTTGGTTCTGGCTTTTTTTCTTATTTTGCCATTTTTAGGTGTGGCGCTGTAGGATCAGCAGTGTACTGCGAACCACAAGGTCAGCAGCTCAAACCCACCAGCAGCTCCTCAGAAACCCTATCAGGATCACTATGAGTCGGAATTGACTTGATGAAACTTAACAACAACATTCTTATTGTTAGATACATCAAGTGTTTTGTAAATTAAGACGATTATAGTAAGCTTTTATCTTGTCGCTTTCCGATTCACTATTTAAAACACTTTGATCTTCATTATAGTGGTGGGGGTGCATGGTAGAGTCGGTTCTAACTCACAGTGATCTTTATAGAGTTTCTAAGGCTGTAAATCTTTATGGGAGAAGAAAGCCTCATCTGTCTCACACAGAGTGGCTAGTAGATTGGAGCTGTTGACCTTGTAGCCAGCAGCCCAATTCATAACCCACTTTACTACCAGGACTCCTTGATTTTCATTAGGGAACAAATTAAATGCAAACTCTTAACTCCAACATTTAAAAATCGTTTCACCTCACCCAACTGTGCAGCCTCATGCCCCCACTCTTTTATATGTGCCATATTTACCAGGCTCCTCCAGAGGGCTTGCTGTTTCCAGAACATGTCCATTGCTCTTCACTGTAGTTCATTTTGGTTCTTCCATTGAGAATGACTTTCCTAACATGTCAAAGAAGTCTTTATTCTTTAAAGACTATCTGGAAAGCTCTCTTTGCTGTCACTTTGAAGGAAAACCACATTCTCTGTACTTTTCTCCTAAAAGACCAGCAGTCTAATTCCAGGGCATTGCCAGGCATCCAGGTTCGTCTTCTTTATGTAATTTTTCCTTTCTTAAGAAGTAGATGTTATTGTGCCTTCTTTTGAGCCATCTGAGAGGTCTTATGTCTGTCTCTTTTCTATGTCTTATATCATTACTGATTTTCAGTTTACTGATTGTAAACTTCTTGTGGGCAGGAGTTGATCTTAGTCATCTTTGATCCTGATAACATCTGCACCAGAACTTTGTGTATCTTGGGAACTAAGTAGTTCATAAATTGAAGATTATGTTTTCTAACCCTGACAGTTCAAAATTGGAAACTAAAATTCTTAAAACATGTTTCTGTAGTTCATCCCTTTACACTACTCATAGTAATTTTCTGCAGACCACGTCTTTGTTTTTTTTTGTTTTGTTTTTTAAGCCTTAACAGAAAAATAACTTTTATTAGGACTAGCTTTTTTATATACAGTGCTTTTACTGACAAAATCTCACAAATACTGTTGTTGATTATAAAGCAAGTATTCTTGAGAAAGTTATATGATGAAAAATTAATAAGTGAAATTATTTAAATTATTATATTTACTGATTCAAGATTTCCAAAGTTTATCATTAATGAAAAGATATAGAACAGCGTATGAACTATGCCCCCATTTGGGAGGGAGGAGAAAAAAATGTGTGCACATACTTGCCTTCATATGCATAAAGCCATCATAGAAAGATACCCAGGAAAACTAATAACCTGCTTGCTTTAGGGCAGGGGGACTGGTGCCTAGGGGATTAGAGTGGAAGAGAGACTCTATTGTGACCCCTTGTGTGCTTTTGAACTTGGAACCATGTATGTTTGCTACTAAAAAAATCAATGAAATGAAAGCAAAAGCTTAAAATTGTGGCATACTTGGAACTTCATTACTAAGTTTACTAGGAAGCTAGCTAGATGCATAGGTAACCCTGAGATGTGTAAATGTCAATCTCTGTGTTTCCCTCAATTTATACAGGTGTCTTTAACACATCAGGTGGAAGTCTCTCAGGTCAGAATTCAAGTATCCTTAATGGTGGAGATGTCATCAGTCTTAGACCCAACAAACAGAGGACCAAGAAAAGCAGAAACCCCTTTAGCAGCTGTAGCATACCCTAAAACATTGTTACGGGGAAAATGAAATTACACTGTGCAATTCAATAAGAAATATATCCAGCTGTTGTGGTATGTTGCAAGTATTTTAGCACATTTTGCAGACAATGGCTCTCCGAAAGTTGACAGACTTGATTAAATATTACTTCATAATGCTTTTCAGAATGTAGAGTGAGACCTCTGGTGGAAAAAATTACTGCCCTGTGGACTCATTGTAAGTTTTATTAGACGACGCTTCTCCTGTTCTGATGATGTCAGAAATAGAGATGTCAGAAACAGGTTTTGCTGAATTTTATAATGCTGGAAAACATAAATGAAATATATTGGTACAGATCTTAATTTTATAGATCAAGGAATGATAACAAGCATTTTCTGAAATTGATTATTTAGCTTTTCTGGAAAGTAGTATCAAATATGAATACCTACTAGCAAAAGATGGAAAGGTAAATCCTAACACTTGCCAGATTGCATTAGTGTGTATTTTGGCAATGTTGCTCGTGCAATATCTGTATAACATAAGGCTGTGGAGGTGTGCATGCAGGTATCTGGCACTGAAGTAAACGGAAGGTGTGTGCAGTATTTAAGGAAACTTAGATTGTCATCATTCATTTGTAAAAATCATTTACTCATTGTTTACCTGTTAAAAGTTTTTACTTTCAGATGAGAAATTTCAGACATATATTTTGCAAAATGAGCTTGGATTTTAAAAGTGCTATGTGCCAAAAGTATTGTACTTCATTTTTACAGTGCTTTACTGTCATCATTTATATAGTTTATAATATCTTTTAAAAGCTGTTTTCCTCTCTGACAGGGTAAAGAGGAGTATAAACTTTTTCATGCTAGAGTGTCTCCCAGCTGAGACTCATTGCAGCATCTGAGAGCTAGCTTTCCCCATGTCTGTCCATCAGGGAGCGGGGTGGTGAGCTTCTGTTGCCACAAGCTTGGCCACAGCCCTAAGAAGATGCCCAGCGTATCTGCATCACTCACTAGGTTCTGTGAAAGGCAGTGGCACATCCAATACCTTTTGCTGCAGAGAACCCAATTTCAGACTTTAAAAATTAAGCTGACGATTTTTTAAATACATAAGAGTTGGATGGTTTTTTTGTCCTAAACCAAATTGTGAGTTTTATAATGCCCTGCAACTCTAACACATCCCTTTGTTTACACATTTTTGTATGGCATTTTCAGAATATCACTTAAAAATTTCTACAACCTTGGGTTTGTATAGCACTTTCTCAAGAGCTCTGTCAGCACCAAATACAAAACAATTTATTTTAAGAAATGATTTTAATACCTAGTCATGTGTCAGAGCCTATGTTTTACGACTTGGGGACAGTAGGTTTCCAACTGAGATAATTGCATAAATTCTGTGAAAGCAGACTGCATTCATTAATGGCTGTTTCTAACTGGTAAACAGCCCCTTTTCAATGTACCTGGCTTTTTACAGGTTTTCAAAACATGTACAAATGACTTTTCTTGAAAAATATGTGTCATGAAGTAGTGTTTCATTGTTTGTACTAAATATTATATGTGTTATGTATTCCTCTTGCATGTTTTATCTTGTTTTGTTTTTAAGTCTTCCATCTGCACCACCCTCACCCCCCCTGCCCAGATTAAGACTGAGAAAAATCATAGAATTTTCTGGGGCATACTTGTTAAGTGGCCAAAAATGAATGTTTTCTGCTCATAATACTGAAATAATCTGACATTACCTATTTCAGAGTACTAGAAAATGTTGATTTTTGTGTCACTAGTTGTCACCATTCCCTTTGCAGGCAGTGGGATAGGTGTTGGGAAAAACTCAGTTCCTAACCGTGAATGGATACCTGCTAGTGAGTCAGCTCTCCTTTTGTACTCTCTTGAAATACAGTCTCTTTTAAATTTTGCACAAAATATATTTTGTGGCGAAGAGTCTTATGGTCTTTATTAGCAGAGAAAAGAAATCGCTCATATTATATAATATGTTGTATTTCTGTGTCATGTAGCAATTAAATATGTGTTTGTAAACGTTTGTTCCATTTCTCTATAAAAGATGTAGTCTGATGATAGTTCCATAGAGACCTTTGTCACACATTGGAGTTTTTAATTTGCACTGCTGTATTTTAAGGGAACCCATAATTAGCCATTTTAAATGATTAAGTAGGCTGGAAAGTTGGTTATGGTGATACTGTTAAATAACTTCTTAATTTATTATGAAACCCTTGAAATTCACATTAGTTTTTTTTCCCCTCTGAGACCCTTAGTTCTTTTATAGAACGGTCTTATTAATTCCTAATGAAACATGGATGCTCAAGAAAAGCCTGCCTGACACTCCCAGATAATTGTGCATTTTTGCTCTATTCTACTTTTTAATATTATGGCTGGCTGATTTCTAACCTACAGATATATAAGGAGGCGCCCAAAAGTTCATAGATCCATTCCATTACCTTCTAATTCTGCTTTTTCATGGACTTTCTGAAGGTTCCTTGTATAACTGGGAAAATGGCCATATTTCAGTTCCTCAGGTTTTCTTTTCCTTGTTCAATCTTGGTCTGTCAAATTAAATAGCATTCAGAATAACTCAGATAGCAGCAATATCATTAAATAAATTCAGGTTAAAGGTCTCCTTTTTATTTGCCGAAATTTTACAGCACACATAAACTTTTTCAAACTACAGTAAAACTAATACTACCATAAAAGAGGATGAACACCATTTCCACATTATAGAATGATGATAGAAGGTTGTTTCAGAGTTTGTCACTCATTGCTTAGAAAGAACTGTCACTGATATGTATTCCATTGTGCCTGTGACTTTTTAGGGATTGGGATCTTTCCTAAAGATCTTAGAATGGTGAATTGGCCTTAGGACCTAATGTCTCAACTCTTAAGTGTTATGCTACATTAATGCAAGATATTGTTAGTTGCTAGCATCCGTTTCAGAATCTTTGAAATGGTTACTGGCAACCTACTGAAAGGCTTCTGTTAATATGTCATTAGGATATCTGTTTCTTGAAAGCAAAGTGAACTGACAGGGTGAACACATTCCGTTACTTGTCACACACTGCACACTCATCTAATAAATAGAGAGATGGTCATTTTGAACTGTTAGTTATGAATATCATGTATACTGTTATTATTACTGTTTCGCTTTTCACCTCTAAAACATGTAAGCCTGTCATTTAAATGAATTTATTTGCTAACAGAAGATATTCAAAACCACAGTGGACTCTGAAATATCCAATCACCAAATTCTTGGGTAACTGGATGATTTGGCTGTAATAGCCCTTATTGGTAATGCTCTTTTTTTGTTTCTCTCTTAAAATATCTGTAGTAGGACGTTGGTATATGGTCTTTTAAAAATAAAAACTTTGGATTTAAAGGAAAACTGAACTCTTCTATATTTTTATTACTATTAAATAATGTTTTTATAAATTTGAATGGAAAACCACTTGTATATATTTTTATTAGGTTGCAATTTTGCCCTCAAACTTGAAGTCTACTACTTGATAAAAATTTCATGCAAGACAGATTCCAACTATCAAAAAATAATACATTTCAGAGCTAGGATTTTGTGCTTTGTGTGATATGTATCACCATTTGATAACAAAATAGTAAATGTATAATTCTGTCTTTAACAGTTAAAACAACCAAAGAATTTTTCTTATTTCCAATAAAGATTGGTTGTCATCAATTTGACTGCAGCTCATAGTAACTCAATGTGCCAGAGTCGAAAGTCCTCCAGAGAGTTTCCAGTACACAAAAACCAATATGCAAAAAAGATGCAGAGGTGGTCTGTTCTCCTCTGACTTCACAGAGGGAGGGAAGGAGCATCAAACTCAACATCAGCCTGAGGCCAGTTCCTATGAGGACAGTCCAGACACGCCTCCAGCCTCCAACCTTCCTTACCATCCCTCCTACAGCACTCTCTCTACCTGATGTTAGCCCATTGCAGTGGAGTCTTGGTGTGGTGCTGTAGGATATGCACAAGGTTGGTTTGAACTGAAAGGTCGATGGTTCAGACTCACCAGTCACTCCATGGAAACCCTGTAAAGGATCACTAAGTCAGAGTTGACCCAACGACACTTACTGCCACCAACTACAATCCATTTCAGTGGCCACGCTGAACTCACATTACTTACAATCATGAGATTTAATAGGAAAATTAATAGGGTACCATTGAGGATCAGAAACAACTCAGGCTATAGAAACAACTCTGGACAGCTGCACCTCTTCTCAGCTGTACACAGGCAAGCCTATCTCTCCTGCTTGTCCTCTCAGCCATGCCAGCCCTAGCCTCTGCCGTTCATGGGCAGTGTTAACAACACTCCGTTAGCACTGCTGATAAAATATCCCAAGGATACTCTGGTTTTCACTGTCTCTGTGAGCCTGCTGCTCTATCTCATGCTATGTCTCTGCACAGGGATCCCAGAGTCCAAAGGATGCGCTCTGTTTCTGCCTCTTCTGCTTGATGGTCATGACATTCCCTGTGCCTGCTTCTGAGATGACTCTTGAACTCAGCAGGAAGGCAGAATCAGCCAATCCCTGAGAGAGTCCTGTACTCCATTTCCATGGTCCTATCCAATCCTGTTATGGCACTGAGGGATAACACACTGGACCACAGGTCGGTTCAAACTTTAGGGTTGGCAGTTCAAATTCACCGGCTGCTCAGAAGCCCTATACAGAGTTGCCAAGAGTCAGAACAACCCAAACATTTGGGGAGTGCAGTGGCTCCATACAGTTGGCACTGGACTACTAACCATGAGGTTGGTAGTTTTGAGCCCACCAACCACTCTGAAAGATGAAGCTTTCTGCTCCCAGAAAGATTTAAAGCCTTGGAAACCCTATACAGGTTCATTATAAGTCAGAAACCGACTTGACAACCCAATCATTTGGCAGGAGTTAAGATAGTGGCTAGAAGAGCCTATCAAGTAAATTCACTGCCGCAGATAGTCTGTCAATATTCAGATCTGTTGGGTCACTTGGAATCATATTTGACGTTACAGCAGCACTGTGGTTTATGAGAATTTGCCTTGAAAATATCTTCTATATCAGTCTGCTTTAAAGAAAAGTTCCAGTCTTGTCTGAATGCTTTTGGCCTTCAAATAACACATTCACGTAAATGTGTGGTACGAAATATCTATAATTCAAATGTATTTAGCAAGTATATTCTGTGTATCAGGCCTCATGCTAAGCACCTTGCAGGTAATGTCTCATTTAAAGCTAATTCTGGGACACAATTACTCCAATTTTACTGTTGGGTGGGCAGGGACTTAGAGAAGTCAATTGCCCTGCTGTGTTCTGGTAAGACGGGGGACTGGGAGCTTAGCTTGGTCTTCGTGCCGTAGAGCTGAACGTGGCAGTATTGTACCTCTTCTGTGTTTTGTCCCAGCATCTCTGCCGTCTGCCAATTACATTTGGAGATGTATTTATAATACTCACTGTATCTGAATACTCAGCCAGTTTTCCAATGCCAGGATTTCCAGTCTTTTCTGACACCTTTTGTCAAATTTATTCATAAACTGTACACCTTGTCCAGTACTGGTCACCCCTGGAATAGTGCGAGTTTAAACTGGATCAGTGACTAAATTAGGCCCTCGACAAATATGTGCGAATGCCACAGTGGTTTGAATGCCCATTACATACAAGGAACGCCTGTTTGCTACAATATGTGGTAGTTTGAGGTGGATAATTAAGACTTGGGTGGTCCAGTTCAAGTAGTTTACTTTTAGTTCACAATTGGAAAACAAGAATGTGAGCACAGGTCTCCAGGACTGTTGCTTCTCATCCTTTTTCATTTGCTTGGTTGTGTGAATAGGGTCTCACATGCAAACAACTAGAGAATGGCTAAGCTCAAGCTCACTGACATCCATGTTGCCTTTCCCAAGATTCCCAGCTCTTTTACTTTAATTGTAAAATGTAGACTGCAAAAACTATCACATATTTATGTACATGTGTCAGCATTTATCACAGTCATTCAAAAGGAACAAATAGATGGAGGTTTCCATTAAATCACTGCATAACATTTGGTTTGCAACATCCTTACAGTGCGGCTTTCAGCCATTGTTAAATTCTGTTTCCAGTTTGAAAATGTTGATCACCTCTTTAGGGTGAATTGTAAGCATTCTGAGTACTGGACTGAGAGCCATCAACATAATGGACCACACCCACACTCGTTGCTAGGTCCCTGTGCATAGTACCCTTCCTCATTTGACTAGTTTACGAAGTTTTAGTAAAGGGAGGATACTATTCTCATAAAATACAGTGTGACTGGTATGCCCCCCATAGGAAGCAACACTGTGGTATGGGGAGACACACCTAGAAACCACCAGTTCACATTCATTACAGTAGCTCTCCTCTTCTGGACCTTCTAACAGCTTTAGGGACTATTAAATTTTCATGTCAGGACTTTCTACGTTGAAGTACCAGTAGGGTCAATTCTGTGTTTGTTAACTGGGCAGGATTTTCACTCTGCTGTAACCTGAGTAGCCTTGAGTCATCTCTGCAGGTCCTGAGGTTTGTCACACTGCAGGAGGCCTTTCCCTATGTCCTGCCATTTGTTACACAGCAGGAGGCCTTTCCCTATAGGAGAAGCAGGAAGCACAACTCAGGTAGAAGTGCAGAGTAGAGAACGGCTTCCCTAGAGTTGCAAGTTGTTGGCAAATGCCATGGAGTCAATTCTGACCCATAGCAACCCTGTATAGGGTTTCCAAGGAGCAGCTGGTGAGCTTGAACCACTGACCTTGCAGTTCAAACGCCGTTACAGTAATGCATTAGCCCACAGCACCATCCCAGGACATACGTTACATGCTAGTAATGATAAGCGGCTGGTACAGTGGCATTAAGGAACATACCAACATAGGACACAACATACACTAAATTCTCTACTAAATCGGACTGTTTTCTACATAAAAACTTTTGTTGTTAAGTGCCATCGAGTCAGTACTGACCTTACACGTAGGGGTTTCAAAGGAGCGATTGGTGACTTTGAGCCATGACCAATCATGTGTGGTTAGTCCGTTGCTTGTCCTACAGCATCACACGAGGGCTCCACATAAATAGTTGGAGGGAGGGTAAAAATGTGACACCTGAAAATAAATTTTACTTTCATTCTTATCAATAAAAATACATGTTAAGAATTGTTCCTCTGGATGTGACCCGAGTGAGTGGAAGGAACTGAGAGTTAAAAATAAATGCTGCAGACCACAAGCCCCAAGCAGATTGGAGATGGTCGTAAGAGTTCAAGTTGTGATAAGAACTCCATTGCAAACCATGGGAAAGAAACTGAGGAAAATATAAAGCCCAGAGAGGCAGACACAGCTGGAAAAACTTGTGGTGGGAAATGTCCAAGCCCAACATGAAATACAGTAAAGGGGAAGAGGAGTATTTCACAATGGAAGGGACTTACTGATGCTGACTTTAATGTCCATTTGTTACTTTTCAAAAATCTAAATAATAATAATAAAAAAAAGGTAAAAGATGACAAACAGGAGGCTATTTATCTGATAGTGAACCTCAGACAGCGTATCAGAGTGCTGACAAGCTAAGAGTCTGTACCATAGAAAGAAGTAAGAAGGAACATTCCCCATAAAGTGTATTCAAATGTGTTAGAGTTGGTACTGGCAAACAAAGTAACCATGAATCTCAGACTGAAATTTCTTTTTTATGAAGCGACTCAGCATTTTTGTTAATAAGATGAAGCTAAATAATTGTCACACGAATCTAGATTTTGAATATTTTTGCCATGTGAAAATACATTCTAATGAAATGAGAATGTTGAAGTCATATTTGGGGAAATTGTTGAGGTTTATATGTCAGTAGCACTGGTTACTTTGACAAATAGTTGTTTCATTTATCACAGGTAAGAATATAGTGGTCAACTTGGTTAGTAAATAAAATATAAATTAAAATAAAGTGTTTTACTAGTACACACAATCAGAAAACAATGATCAATGCTGAAAAGATCTCAGTAAAATAGCTACATTTTAATTACTGAAGACAGTATAAATTGATACACTCCAAAGAAATTATGAAATATGTTTCAAATCATGCAAATGTACATGCTCTTTAATTTAGTTAATCCCACTGCTGGGATTTTATACAAAGAACATTAAAAAGAAAAGGAAAAAAGCTCTGTGGACATAAAAGATGTTACGGTAATAGCAAATAACTAGTTAGAAGGGAACAGGTAAGTAAATTATGGTACAATTACATAGAATATGCTAGTTTTTTTTAAATTGACAGAGTTTGCAGCAACTCTTAATTTAATAAAAAGGCAAGTTACAACATTGCAAAATTAAAATTTTATAGAAATGATACATTTGAAAAATGAGGTGAATATATTATACACAATGGTCAAATTATAGGTGATTTTTCTCAAATTAAAAAAAAAACAAACATTTATACTATGAGATGCCTAAATCTTTTTTAGGTGGTTTGGCATTGTAGGATAAGCACTCAACCTCAAGGTCGGTTTAAACTGCAAAGTCCGAGGTTCAAACTCACCTATTACTCCTTGGAAATGCAATACAGGGTCACTATGAATTGGAACCGATTTGACAAACTTGATGCAGATGCCTTCAGAATTTTTGTTGAATGGAAGGCCATAGGTAAAGAATGTTTTGCAATTCCTTTTATTCTCTAAGAACAGTAAGTGCTTTGTTACCATTAGGTATGCAGTGTGTTCAGCTGCGGAAGGTAAAAACCTTCTAGTTGACTAAGTGCCTATGTGTCCATTTGTTTCCATACCAGACAAAACTCAGGAAAGAACAGTGATGCCCTTTGCCCTTAGCTGAGCACTTATTTTCCACCACATACTACACATTCACCCACAGAATAGAAAAAATATATACATAGAGGTATATGAAGTTGTCAAGGACTTCATTCTTCTTGGATCAACTGCCAACATTCACGGAAGCAGAAATCAAGAAATCAAACGACTTAATGCATTAGGCAAATCTGCTGCACAAGACTTTTTTAAAGTGTTGAAGAACAAAGATGTCAGCTTGAGGACTAAGGTGTGCCTGACCCAAGCTATGGTATTTTCAATATCATATGCATGCAGAAGCTGAACAGTGAAATAGGAAGACCGTAGAAGAATTGATGGTGTTGGAGGAGAATATTGAAAGTGCCATGGACTGCCAAAAGAACAAAAAGATCTGTGTTGGAAGAAGTGCAGCCAGAGTGCTCCTTGGAGGCCAGGATGGTAAAACTTCATATCTCATACTTCGGACATATTGTCAGGAGGGACCAGTCGCTAGAGAAGGATATCTATCATGTTTGGTAGGGTGGGGGGTCAGAAAAAAAGAGGAAGACCACCAGTGAGATGGAGTGGCAAAGTGGCAGCATCAGTGGACTCAAGCATGGCAACAATACTGAGGTTGGCCCAGGATCGGGCAGTGTTTCATTCTGCTGTACATAAGGTCGCTATGAGTTGGTACTGACTCAATGGCACCTAACAACAACAACAACAATATGTATATATTAGATCCCAGTATAAGACAAAATTCAAATGAAAAACTATATAGGTAATAAAAATATATCTAGTTTTAAATGTTTTATTTGCAAAACTCATAACACTAGAATATTTTTCTCATCTGAGACAACATTCAGTCTCAACTGAGTGGTTATACCTAACATAAAGAACTAGTTATTACATAAAATAGTATTTTATCATTTTTCACATCATTATTTGTTAAGTACTTTAAGTTTCAAAATTGATTCAATCTGCTTTCAGCATTTTGTTGCAAAGATTTGGAACCAGCACCCTTAGAATGCTCTAACAGCTTGATGGCCTTGTCAGAGTTTTCAATATTTCTAAGCAGAGTCTCTAATCTTCTCTTAATTTTCTTCTGGTCTTCAAGAGCACAGCCAATTACTATAGATTGGAACTTCTGATCAACAGGCCCAGGTGGTACCTCAGAAGAGCAAGCACTGTACAGCGACATCAAATGACTTTTGGCGTTTTCCAGATCATCCAGAAACTTATTAACCACCTCGTCAATAATTCTGGTGGCATGCTTTAGGGATTCCTGCTGCTGTGGGTTTCTAATGGTTTCCACCGAAACTTCAACAGTGAGGGTTCGTCCCATCAAACGGTTTGCAGTCAGATTTAATTCTTCTCTTTCTCCTAAATGACAACAAAAAATTGAAATGTCAACCAGAGACAAACTTGCCTTTGTTAAAGACATCCATTTGTGGCTAAATCTGTTATGTTTTTTAAGGACCTCTGTTATGAGTTTTTTAAAGGCAAAGCTAAAACTATTGTACATAGATTAATTTGATGTAGTATAATGGCATCAAGATTGGAGCAAGACTCATTAACAATCCATGACATGCAGATGACAAAACCTTCCTTGCTGGAGGCAAAAAGGACTTGAGTACTTTAGAAAATCAAAGACTACAGTCTTCAATATGGATTACATTTCAATGTAAAGAAAACAAAAATCCTCACAACTGGACCAATAGATGAGGAAATGTTGAAGTTGTCAAAAATTTAATTTTACTTGGATCCACAGTCAACGCACATGGAAGCAGCAGTCAAGAAACCAAACGCATATTGCATTGGGCAAATATGCAACAAAAGTCTTCTTTAAAGGGTTAAAGAACAAAGATGTCACTTTGAGGATGAATGTGCACCTGACTCAAGTATTAGTATTTTCAGTAGTCGCATATGCATGTGAAAGTTAGACAATGAATAAGGAAGACCCTAGTAAAACTGATACATTGCATTATGGTATTGGTGAAGAATACCGAAAAGTATCATGGATTGTCTGAAGAATAAACAAATTTGTTTGGGAGAAGTACTGTTGGGTTGCCCCGTAGAAGTGATGATGGCAAGACTTCATCTATCTTAATTTGGACATGCTGTCAGGATGAACTAGTCCCTGGAGAAGGACATCATGCTTGGTAAAGTGGAGGGTCAGCAAAAACAGGAAGACCCCCCACCCCCCAACAAGATGGATTGACACAGTGGCTGCAACTTAAAAAATTGTGAAGATGGAACCGCACTGGGCAATATTTCGTTCTACCAGGTCACTATGAGTCAGAACCAACTTGATGGCACCTAACAATAATGGATTACAGAAAGAGACTGTAGAATACCTCTGCCAGGAAGTCTTTATACAAGCTAACTTCTCAAAGACTAGTGTATTTGCTAAAAGTTTGGGTGGGTATGTAGTTGTAACTGGGAAATAACGATTTACACACACAGAGTGAACAATGAGTTCAACTGGAATTTGTGCTGGTTAGTGCTGTGGAGACCAGATATCCTGGATTGCCATATAGGTTGTGCGTGTATACCTATACACTCGCCCTATGTTGGCTGAGAAAATGGCCAATGTGAAGAATGAGCTGGCCTCAAAACTAGACATTGACTTCATTCTCTCCAGACAAATTTAAGCAGGCCTATGGACTAGTCTTGGCCAACACAAAGAAATAAAGAAAACGGAGCTCAGTCAACATTTCAATATTTATATGAAAAAGCAATGAATCTCTTAACTACAAACACCATAAGTGGGGGTGGGGGGAGAGCAATCTTTTATCGGCTCTGTTACTTAACTTCCTTTCTACTTCATTGATGTTTGGCCAAGATGTTGAGAAAACTGATTAGATCATGGCCGTGTTGTGGATTTTTAAGAGTTTTTGTCTGGAGTTCTATACTTACCAACTAGCTGGCTCACTAGCTTGTCCTATGAAGCACTAAAGAACCTAATTAGTAAGTCCAGGGCCAATTAAATTGATTTTACAAGAGACCTAGTCCTCTCTATAGTCAGGGCTATTTTCATATGAAAATTATAGTACATTTTACTAGTTTGTTTTATAATTTACTTTCTCTTTTCTTTCTGTTAAATTACATCCCAGTACATATCTTTTTGCATTTACTTCTCTATTTCCAGTCTCTCATATTTTTCTTCTGCTTTTAATGCCCTGCAGTAACTGATAAAGAACTGAAGTTGGGAATCTGAACCTGAGGTAAAACACATACATGGCCATGGGACTTTGCAGGCCTAACCATGGTCTGAGGGTGGTATTTTTCTTCTGCTTATAATGCCCTGCAGTAACTGATAAAGAACTGAAGTTGGGAATCTGAACCTGAGGTAAAACATGGCCATGGGACTTTGCAGGCCTAACCATGGTCTGTGGGTAGAGAGCCTGTTGGAGAAATGACCTCTGGTAAGCAGCTGTTGTAATAAATGGACAGCTGCAGCTACTACCTACTGCTCAGATTAAATGTTGAAGCCTAATCTATTCATATAACAAACAAAATCAAACAAAAATTGAACCACACATATCACAAACCCCTTAGTCATATGTAAGAGATAAGCATCCTTCTGGGAAAATGGCTCTCACCATCGCTGATCTGCCTCATGTCCTGGCTGTTTTGGACACTGTGGATCATTTCCAGGAGGATTTCTTTCTCTTGCTCAACAGCACTTGCTGCTTCTCTCAAAGCTTCAACCCTGTGTAAATTAGGAAAACCGAAAGTTATTGTGTGAAGAATGTTCTAGTAAAATTTCTCATTTCTCTATCACTCGATGATGCTTAACAACAATTAGTCAGTACAACTCATGTTGAAAGGTCACCAGGAACACTTGAAAAAACAACTTTATTATTTCATCTAACTATTCTCTTTTAGTCACTTATGCCACTTCTATTCTCCTCCCCACTTATAAGGCAATCATTCTATTTATTGTTTATCTCTTTGGATTTACTACAAAAATCTGTATTGCTTGTGTATACATGTATATTTATCTTACTCTTCCTTTTTCACTTATTATTAAACACCTATGTCCTATGTGTACATCTAATCAGTAGATTTCTAGCTGCTGCAAAATACTGTGTGTGTCCACCAGATTTTACTTCTCTACTTTCCGAATGAGAGAGAGCATGGTGGCTCCACAGGATAAGCACTGGACTGCAGACTGCAAGTTTGGGAGTTTGAGCCCACCAGTTGCTTTGTGGTAAGAGGAGGCTTTTCCTGCTCCCAGAAAGATTTAAAAAACAACAACAAAAAAACACAAATAAACCTCCAGGTAGACACATGTTAACATGAGTGACAGGGCAGGCAATAAACAACAAGAAGGAGGTTAGTAGAGGAAAGATGAAGGCAGTGGGAAACACAGGGAGGAATGCAAGAGTTAAAGTGAACAGAGGTCAGTACTGTTAATTGTTGGTACATAGAGGAGATTGCAACCATACAAGAAGTAAAGTATATGATTTGTTGAGTCTAAAACTGATGATCTGCTCTGTAAACCTTCATTAAATTCACAATAAAAAGTTGGAAGAAGGAAGAAAAAAAAGCCTTCAGAAACTTCTACAGGGTCTCTGAGTCAGAACTGACATGGTGGCATTTAACAACAATAACAACCTTCCCACTGATGGTCACCCAGGTTGTCCCTTATAAAAACGAAGTGGAGGAGACATCTGACCTCCTCTGATTTCACAAGAGGGAAGGAAAATCAAACTCTTCATCAGCTGAGGGTTGATTCCTATGTGAGACGGAGATCAGACATGCCGCTTCCTTTCAACCTTCTTTACCAGTTAGGACATCAATTGTCCTTCCAAGGCTCTCGCTGTTGAGTTCAGGAATTCATTGCAATGGCCATAGAGAATGTACAGACATGCTCATTACTATAGGATTGATTAGTGAAGTTAACAAGTTACAATTTAAGATCAGAATGCTCCCTTCTGGTCAAAGGGCCTCTTCTCAGACATGTCCACAGGTCCTTGGTCTCTCAACTATGCAGCTCCTTGGCCTCTACTCTACTGAGGCAAATGTTACAAAGCTCCCTCGCACTGCTGATAAATGCTCAAAAAGTACCTTAGTTCACTATAAACCTCAACCCAAAGGTGCTAATGTCTAGTTTTGTGGCTCAGCAAATCTAGTTGTACTGATTAAGTGTCTGTAGGAAATCCACTCTGCAAGCAAGCCTCCTGCCCACAGAAGACACTCAATTTTACTCTCTCCATGGGCCAGGAAGCCCACTGTTCTTTCTTCTGTTTTTGGTTCTACAGCTGCGGCTCTGTTGTCACCTCTTCTCAGCTACTTCTCTGGTGTCACAAATCTGTCTCCTGGATCATGGAGGTTCAGTGCAGGAATCTAAGGATCCAAAGGATGACCTCCACTCCTGGCTTTTCTTTCTTGATGGTAGTGAGATCCTGCTTCTGAGATGGCTCAGTTTATACCCAGTGGGATGGCAAAATAAGCCAATCCTCTTATGAAGTTTCCATACACTTTGTTTGCATGGTCCCACCCATTCATTTGCTGGGAGTTACAAAGACTGGCTAGAAGAGCCCCTTTATCTCATTTCTGTTCCTGTAGCTTTGGATATCTCTTCATATTCTTGATAGCCTGTTCATAATCTTTGCTTATTTAGTTTATGTTCCTGAAATACAGGTTACTGCCCTTTTGTTACGGAAAAAGATGTGACAGTCTGCTTCTGTCAAGATCCCTATCCTAGTTGTTAGCTGCCATTGTTGTCAGCCCTGGACTCATGGCAACCCATAGCAATGGTCTGAAATACCAGTGCTGTGCCATTCCCATGATTGCTTGCATCTCAGACTTTTGTGATCCACAGGGCTTTCACTGGCTGATTTTTGGAACTCTGTTACCAGGCCTTTCTTTCCAGTTTGTCTTAATCTGGAAGCTCCACTGAAACTTGGCTCAGCATCACAACAACATGCACGCCTCCACTGACCGATGGATAATGTCTGTGCATTGGCTGAAAATTTAACCCGAGCACAATGGAAGGCTTGAATTCTACCACTGAAAACACCACTGCTCTCATTTCCTACCCCTAAGTTGTAAGATAGTCTTCTACATTTTCTTCTGCTAACTCTATAGTTCTACTTTCATATTTATAACTTGAATTCATCTAGACTCCAACCTTGTATGTTTTAGGTAGAGAGAATGTTTTTTTCTCCAAATGACCCACTTTCTCCAACAATCCAACTGTCCCCCAAAGATTAATCTATGTATACATATTACGTCTGCTTCTGACAACATAATAAACGTACCAAAAATTTGTTGTTGTTAAATTCTGTCAATTCTGACTCATAGCAACCCTGGTATGGGTTTCTGAGGAGTGGCTGGTGAGTCTGAGGCACAGACCTTGCGGTCCAATCCGTACCCTATAGTGCCATAGCAGGACTCCTTAGGGTGCATCTATTTATTCAGAGCCTCTTTTATGTTTTTTATTGGAAATTTTAGGTATTTTTCATAATGTTTCTCTTAAATGTTCCATTTATATGTTTTTTTTTTTGTGTTATGAATAATATTTTATTATATATTCCAGTTAATTATTGCCCCTAAGAGAAATGCTGTTTTATAAGCTCTTGTTGTAACTGACAACCCTGAGTTATATGTATTAATTTTAATAGCTTGTCTGTTGATTCTATTAGTTATTTTAGGTTAAAGATCACATTATTTGTCTAATCCTATCACTTTTTTTTCTTTTGTTTTACGTAGTAAGTATGGTAAGGTCCTCTGGTACTGTGTCAAAAACAGCAGTGATATGGGGTATCTTTTCCCAAATCCAGAGGGAATGCCCTGTAGGCTTTTGGTCTAAAGCTATGCTCAGTCTATAGAAACACTCCTTTCCCTGCCTCACCCTCAACTATACACACATACACTCCACATATCCAGTTACTAATCAGCTAGGTTGTAGAATTGTAGGAGTCAGAGAAAAAAAACTATGTGGTTAAAGTGTTCTATTTCCAGGTCACTTTCATGTTATGATTATAGTAACTAAATAAGTTGCTAAATTTTGCAAGATGAAATAGTGACAGATGTACCCCCAGAATTTAGATAATCCTGGAAATATGAGATCATGAAGGATCTAATTCTGATTGTTGCCTTAAGTAAGCACAGAAGGGACTTCACCAACATTTTAGCATGTGTCCATTCCATATAAAGATTCCGCTCTTCCCTCCCTTCCCCAAAGCATACATATGACTTTCTCCCATCAGTCCCCCACCTGCTATATTCCAAAATAGCACTGATACCATGTTACAAATGTGGAAAAGAACACAGAAAATATTCTGTAGTAATAATATAGTAGTAATACAGAAAATAATATAGTAGTGATACAGTATCAGAGCATCTTCCAGGCACCATCCATTATGCATCTACACATTTCACAATAGCAAACTCTCAGATAAAGTAGAGCCCAGTACATATGAAAGACATTCAGTTAGCACTAATATGAAATATTGATGCTACAAACAAGCCACGGCTCCAATAGTTCATGACATCAATGACTCATGTGATTGATAAATGAGAAGATGCTGAAAGAAGAGATTAATTTTTCAACACCATTCTGTACTAAAATGTAAGCTGCAAAGAGAACTGAATGGTCAAAAAAGGCTTCATTAACAACAGTAAGTTACAATAGTAAATTCTTGAGATTATTAACAAGAAACTGGCTTAAAAGAAGCCATTTTAGAAAAAATAGCTATCATATAAAGAAGATATTTTGTCGTTAATTGAGACAAAATATAATGAGAACCTTTTAAGTTTTGTTTTTGTTTTTTTCTAACAAGATTTTTTATTACCAGGGTATTTTCCTTGTGAAAAACAGATTTTATCATTATGTTGTTAAGTTCCACTGAGTTGGTTTCCAAGGAGTGGCTAGTGGGTGTGAACCACCAACCTTGTGGTTAGTAGTCCAGTGCTTATCCTACAGTGTCACACCAGGACTCCTTATCAAACTTCTTATTTATGTCCATGTTTTTAATTTAATGTCATTCTTCAGAATGCAGATGCGAGGGAGTATTTTGTCACCATGGATCTTTACACTTGCTATTCCCTCTTCCTAGAACATTCTTTCTCCCAGATCCTTGTCTACTGGGTGATCTAATAACCTCCCCACTCCTTCCTCTCCTATCTTTTATGTGGACATCTTTTTTTTAATTTATGAATTATGCGATCGTTTACATGGGCGAACATTAGCTTTACATTCATCCTATCGTATATTGTTTCATTCCCCTCCATGCATCATCAACCAACCACAGGGTATACCCAGCAAGCCTGCCCCCGGTTGTCAGCACACAGCCCCTCTCCTTCTTTGGGTCTAGAGCTATGTGGACATCTTTTTATTTTTCATTTTATTGTGGTAAAAATATATACAAACAAAATATACACCAATTCAACAATTTGTACATGTATAGTTCAGTGGCACTGAGTGTGTTCTTCAAGCTTTACTACCATCCTTGGTTACCCTTTTTTCAAATTAGTTGATGAACATTAACATGAATTCACAGCCCCCAAGCAAAAACTTCTCCTTTCCTCCTACATCATGTGTTTCAAAACATTTTATTGTGAATTGAGCGGTTTACAGAGCAGATCATCAGCTTTACATTCAACAAATTACATTCTCCATTTCATTTCAATGATTGTGATCCTTCAGTGTAAAATTATTTTTCCCACTTCTTTTCTGAGATTCTTGCTTCTATTTCACCT